TTATTAATCAATTTCTAGTGGACTAACCAACTGATATTAATGATAGAAATGCTTACCCTGCAGATTCCAAAATGCTAAACGATGAATTACTCTGTATAGTCACAGCTTCCAGTCATTATAAAACAGTATTGGTATTGAGAGTTTGGCTTTTTAAAAAAAGGCTGAAAGAGTCACTTAAACTCTCGTAAGTAAATAGATATTCTTGGTGTAAACAGAGAAACAAAGAAACTATGACAAACAACGGAAACTAATTTGGGGAACGCTATTTCACATAATTTAAAGCTTGTAGAACATTTGTTTTTGTTCCTAGTTTATTCCTCAAACCATAACTTTCGTTTGATGTATGGTTTAATACCATACGTATTTTGTTCCAAAGTTATTGTAATTTGAACATAAACTTTGCTACTCTATTTTTCTACTTTAATCCCCAGTTTTGGACATAATTGTATTTTCTTAATTTAAAGCATGTAGTCCCTTTGATAAATTTCAGAACATACTTACTTACTTACTTACTTACTTACGCCTGTTACTCTCAATGGAGCATAAGCCGCCGACCAGCATTCTCCAACCCACTCTGTCCTGGGCCTTCTTTTCTAGTTCCATCCAATTCCTGTTCATTTTTCTCATGTCTATCTCCATTTCCCAGCGTAATGTGTACTTTGGCCTTCCTCTTTTCCTTCGGCCTTGTAGATTCCATGTGAGGGCTTGACTTGTGACGCAGTTGGGTGCTTTCCTCAATGTGTGTCCTATCCACTTCCAGCGCTTCTTCCTGATTTCTTCCTCCACTGGGATCTGGTTTGTTCTCTCCCTTAGTAGGTTGTTGCTAATAGTGTCCGGCCAATGGATCCGAAGTATTTTTGCGTAGACAATTGTTAATAAACACCTGTATTTTCTGGATGATGGCTTTCGTAGTTCTCCAGGTTTCATCCCCATACAGTAGAACTGTCTTGACATTTATATCGAAAATCCTGACCTTGGTGTTGGTTGACAGTTGCTTTGAGTTCCAGATGTTCTTCAGTTGTAAATATGCTGCTCTTGCTTTGCCGATCCGCGCATTCACATCTGCATCAGATCCACCCTGTTCATCAATGATGCTGCCCAAATATGTAAAGGCTTTTTCATCTTCCAAATCTTCTCCGTCAATTGTGATTGGATTGGTGCATTCTGTATTGTATAGGATAATCTTGCTTTTTCCTTTGTGTATATTGAGACCTACTGCTGCGGAGACTGCTGCTACACTAGTCGTCTTCTCCTGCATCTGTTGTTACGTTTGGGATAGAAGGGCCAGATCATCTGCGAAGTCCAGATCGTCCAACTGCATCCTAGATGTCCATTGTGTCCCGTGCTTCCCTTCAGATGTTGACGTCTTCATGATCTAGTCGATCACCAGGAGAAAGAGAAAGGGTGAGAGTAAGCAACCCTGCCTAACACCGGTCTTCACTTCGAATGACTTTATCAACTGTCCTCCATGCACGATTTTGCAGTGTAATCCATCATATGAGTTCTGTATGATATTGACTATCTTCTGAGGCACGCCGTAGTGTCGAAGAAGTTTCCATAGTGTTGTTCTGTCCACGCTATCAAATGCCTTTTCATAGTCAATGAAGTTGATGTAGAGTGATGAATTCCATTCAATTGATTGTTCCACAATGATCCGTAGAGTTGAGATTTGGTGTGTACACGATCTATCCTTAAGGAATCCTGCCTGTTGGTCACGAAGTTGGGCGTCTACGCAGTCCTTCATCCTGTTTAACAATCCCCTGTTGAAGATTTTTCCCTGTATTGAGAGAAGAGTGATGCCTCTGTAGTTATCACACTTGCTGAGATCGCCTTTCTTTGGTATTTTGATCAGGAGTCCTTCTTTCCAGTCTGTTGGTACTTGTTCCTCATCCCAAATCTTATTGAATAGAATGTGGAGTATCCTTGCAGTTGCCGCTACGTCTGCTTATAGTGCCTCTGCTGGAATGTTATCCGGTCCTGCTGCTTTGCCACTCTTGATTTGTTTGATGACCATACTGATTTCTTCAATTGTTGATGGGCCAACATCGATTGGGAGGTCCGTGCGTGCTGCTTCGATGTTGGGTGGGTTCAGTGGGCTGGTCGATTCAAGAGTTCTATGGAGTGTTCTACCCACCTGTTTTGTTGCTCTTCAATGTTGGTGATTGATTACCTCGCCTTCCTTGCTTTTCACTGGTCGTTCTGGTTTGCGGCGATTTCCAGAGAGTTTCTTTGTCGTGTCATACAGTTCTCTCATGTTTCCTTCTCTTGCAGCCTTTTCCGCCGTCGTTGCTAAATCTCCCACATATTTACGTTTGTCGGTTCTGATGCTCCTCTTCACTTGTCTGTTTACTTCTGTGTATTCAGCTTGTGTCTTGGCTTTTTCTGCTCTTGTTCGACTGGTATTGATTGCTGCCTTCTTGTTCCTCCTTTCTCGAATCTTATCCAGTGTATCAACATTGATCCATCCCGTGTGATGCTGCTGCTTGTGACCCAGGACCTCATGACATGTTGAAGTGATTGCCTCTTTGATCCCCTTCCAGTTGCTCTCCACAGTAGTTCCTTCTCCATTGAGTAGATGATGAAAGGCCTGGAACGTATTGCTGTGGAATGTCTTGAATTTGTTGAGTTTGTCAGTATCCTGTAGAAAGGCCGTATTGAACTTTTGTGATGTTGTCCGCCCCGTTGTCCAATGTTTCTTGAGTTTCAACTTCATCTTGGCGATCAGCAAGTGATGATCTGATGCTAAATCAGCTCCTCTCTTGGTTCTCACGTCCTCTATAGTCCTACTGAACGTTTTGTTGATGCAAATATGGTCGATTTGGTTTTGTGTAGAGTGATCCGGTGAAGTCCATGTGGTTTCGTGTATACGTTTATGTGGGAATATGGTTCCGCCAATGTCCAGCTTATTGAAGGCACATAGGTTTGCAAATCTCTCACCATTTTCGTCCCTTTCTCCCAGTCCGTGTCGTCTCACGATGTCTTCATATCCAGTGTTGTCCGTTCCAACCTTGGTATTGAAATCTCCCATCAGAATGGTTAGGTCGTTTGTCGGGCACTTCTCGACGATTGACTGCAGCCTATTGTAGAATTGATCTTTAGCGTCTTCATTGTAGTCGTTGGTAGGCGCATAGCATTGGATGATGTTCATTGGAATGCCCTCTTCCTTTGTTTTAAACGTGGCTTTGATGATCCTTGGTCCATGAGATTCCCATCCTATAAGTGCATTTTGTGTTTGTTTGGACAGCATCAATGCAACTCCTTGTGTATGTGGTGCATTTTCTTCTTCATGGTCGGAGTATAACAGGAGCTCTCCTGTAGTTAGTCGTTGTTGTCCAACTTGTGTCCAATGTGTTTCACTGATCCCAAGCACCTCTAGGTTGTATCTTCTCATTTCTGCAGCAATTTGGAAGGCTCTCCCGGTGTCCCACAATTTACGAACATTCCATGTACCTAAATAAATGATCGCTCTGGTTGTCAGAAGGGGCATCGGCCTCGTAACTTCCGAAGGAATTCGGCTTTCATCATGAGGCGTCATAGTTCTTCTAAATGAAGACCTTCTGACTCCCAGGGCAGAGTTTAGAAGGTTTGAATAATTTTTTCTGGTTAGCGTTTTTTTAGCGAGTTAGTTTTCTACGGGATGGGTACGCTAATTCCATGCCCAACCCTCCTGCTTTATCCGGGCTTGGGACCGGCAGTAGCCCCCGGAGGGACTCCAGGCGGGGTTTTCAGAACATAGTTCTGATAATCTTCGTCTTCTTATTACATTATCGAAATTTTCTCATTTGTTTGTGCGTTGTGGTCACTTTCCATTTAATTATTCATGTATATTTTTACACCAATCTGAATCGGAACCAGATCGGAGTGTGAATCGGAATTGTGAATAAATTGAGTAGTGTTCCACTTGACTCGTCTTCTCTCTCTAGAGCTTGTCAACCAATCAGGTGACAGAAAAGTTTTCGTCTCTCTACGCAAGGCAGTTAGTCTCACTTCGAGCCCACACAGGTTAAACCTGTTAGCCTATCGATACAAGTTATCTTCTGTATATTATCGGATAGACATATCAAGGACGTAAGAGTTCAGTGTAGAAAGAAATGTATAAGACGTTTACTTTAGTTTATGCCATACTTTTTCCCACCAAACTGAAACATTTGTGGTATTTGTGTGTTGAACTTTGATGATTCACTTTTTAGGATTTAAGCATGTTGTGAAACTGAATGTAAATTCGCTTTTTTAAAGGATAATCTGATGCATTAGAAGAAAAGTGGTTTTCCCTAAAGAGAATAATTTACTGCTCTAGTATGTTATTTTCATCTTCAGATAATAAATAGTAACAGAAACGGTTGATTCAACTAAATGACCACCTAATAACATTAAAAATTAGTTCTCTGTCAACTTGTTATTTCAACCTCAAGGTTTTTAATTCTTGATATCTAAAGTCATATAAACGTCAGAAATCAGTCAGTTTAATCATCAATTAAATGTAATATCAGTTGATAAGTATTCTCGTGAAAATTTATTAAACAGAAGTAGAGCACTTTCATTCAACACTGTTTTAATCGTGTTTTTCTTTAGACGTAGACTGTATAGTTCAACTTACAGTTTATAGTTTCCTTTATATGATAATGAAACGTGATTAGTTGAGTTTGTATATTTATTTTAAGAAAGCATACATTTCTTATAAGAAAGAATCATTGACTATGCAAATGGGCAACAATATCAAATAAATTCTTCCCAATTGCATTTATACAAAATCATTTTGTTGGTAAAAATTTGTTTCTGAGGTTAGTGTTGTGAGTTTATGTCCGGCTTTTTACCACGTGATCTATCCACCAATCAAAATACGACTTGTACAATCTTAGCACTGTGCCGAACCAATGACGTTCGACCGGTATAAGCAGCCTAGCGTCCTTATTGGTCGTATTTCCGCCTAGCCCGTCCACTTGAGTCCAGAACACCAATACCAGCTTCAAATATGCGAATCGAATCGAATCAAATGGAATCGGATCGAATCATTTATTTCAGACATACTGGGTTTATATATCAAACAAACAGACTGCAACACACCATAAAATAGGAAATAACATTTGTATACAATAAAGCCAAAAAGTCACTGTGAACGTGGGAGGCAGTAGTCGATAAACTGAACATAGCTTAAGAACAGTAAATCATACAATAATAAATTATAGATCAAAATCAAGCTTATAGTAAGGGAAATATAAATATACATAATCTAATTATTGAATAGTTATACCATAAGAATGTATAGATAATATTAGTCAATTAAGATGTCTCAGAAGTTACTCGTGATTTATTCTTCGCTTGTATATAACAGGTAGAGTCTATTGAAATGTTAAAAAATATAATTCTAATACACTAATTTGAAATTTTGGTTTGTTCATTATATATATTCTCTGAAGTGTTTTCCATCTGACTGATATTCATATTTTTATTGGTCAATCCATATAAAAATCTATAAAATGTTCACAGAAAAATAAAACACATTTTTCCTCAGGATATTCATCGAAAATCATGAAGACTTCATTGAAATTCTGGATGAATTATTCAAAAAACGTTTGATGAAAACATATTTTAGGTTTAATTTTTTCAAAAGTATAAGAAATTGTTTGGAATAAAGAAACTAAATACCTGCGTTAGTATTTTACTTTGTATATCGGTATCATGAATTAGAAAACTTAAAGTTAACAATTTTCAACAGAACAATAAATTCTCTTAATTTACCTATTTATTGAACATCAAAGTAAATCAGTTTTGGTTTAAATCAGTTACCTATAAATTGGAATATTTGATGTAAAATGTATATCAGTGTTGCTAAGGTTACAATATAACATTGATTCACGGTCATTGTAAACCTTTTATTTGGAAAAAAATAATCATTATGTACAGTTAATAATCGTACACCTAGGTGTTAAAACGACAGCTCACAAGATATTTATATGAAATTACAATGATTATATGATTATCAGTTTAGTGATTGTGAATATTGTTAGGTTTTTGATTGAGATCATGAACCGATTGATGTTACACCACGAGACGGAAGGCCCTGGGTTCGAATCCCGTGAGCGGGATCGTGAATGCGTACTGCTGAGGAGTCCCACAATGAGACAAAACGGCCGTCCGGTGCTACCAGGTTTTCATTGGTGGTCTAACATCAATCGGTTCATGATCTCAATCAAAAAGATTGTAAAACTGATTGCCTGCTTGATCATACAACATTTTAGAAAACAAGTTTACGGTAAAACAAATATAACTTGTTCAATTTGTGATTACAAGAATAATACAGTAAAACTTAATACATTATAATCAGGGATGGATGGTGGCTAGTAATGGAATCCTGATTAAGAAAAAAGCTTACGAGATCATTTAATGAATCATGTAGTCAATATAAGATAATGAACTTTGAGTGTAATGTTTACTTTAACTTTGAGAACAAGTGTTGACTGTTCTGTGAACAACAAAGAGGGAAGATTACTTCAATTAATAAAAATCAATTAAATGATCATAATTTATATATATTTATTGTGTATAGCATACTGTGTTTTTCGTAAATCTATTAAAATTTTCTGTAACTCAGACGTTAACATTAAATCATCAGCCTTAAAACAGTACCACTCACCATCTAAGTAAATTTATTATGTATTCCTTTATTAGTCATGCCGTTTTCAAGAGTTTAACAAGATATTAAGGTAAATATAAGAAATGAGCTAAAGATCATTGTCTAAATGGTTGAAGCTAACTAATTTTAGATTTCTAGGATGACCCTAGTTCGAAATCTTTCATTTGTAAACAAAAACACGTTTAGTATTTACAACAATACGAACTCTAACAAGGGAAATTACTGGTTTAACGTGTTCAATTACTAATTAATTTATTAATTAAGGGATCAAATTAAACGTATATTAGTTCTCTTCATATTGTTTGGATGTGAAGTGGCAACTTACATTCACCGAAATTAACATTGATCTATGCTTCTATTCTCTAAATCATTAGCTTACTGGTTTTACACTCGGCTTGTTAGTGAAGTTATTTAATGTCAAACAATCAGCTCTATATTTTTGTTGTCCGAAAAAAGTAGGAACCTTATTTTGTTTGAAATTACTTTGTTTTTTTCTCTCCTGTTGATGAAAATCGAACGATTGTAAGGTATTTCAAAGTGGAAACATCAATTCGTTAGTTAAAAACAGTAGATTGTAATGTCAAACTTCAATGTTGACATCTATTGTCTATGTCTATGTATTGATTCTTTGACAAAAAGATAAGAATCTATAAACAGTGACCTTTAGTTAGCTTACCGACAGTACAATCAATGTTCACAAACTATGTGGAAATATGTATTTAAATTACATTAACTCTATACGTATCTGTTTGCTTATTAGTGTACTTTGAAATACATCAGATAGATCTTATTGGACAGTACACAATTTTCTACTTGATTTCTTCTTAGGCTTACAAACTGTAAACTTGTGGAAGTTCCCTTGTAATTAGAAAAATTGAAAATAATAATGGTTACAATGCTGATGTTATAAACTTACTTTGTTAAACATCAACCAGAATTCAGTCTCATTACATCTAAGTTCATATAATTAAAATGATTTGTGATATAACTTATTTATCAAGTACACATCTATGCATTCGGCTTTGAACAATGAGTTACACGTGAAATCTAGTGTTAGGTATTGATTAACAGAGTCGTTTTCGAAAGAAATGGGTTGAACTCAAAACATTGGCTTCGGTAAATTAGATGCCCATTTGGATAGATAAATAACAGCCAATATAATTTATCGTACTTTTAAAAAAAAGTGTCATATAACATATATCTAATGCTTGTTATATTTTTCGGTAAAGTACTTTCATGGTTATTGTTCATTTTAAATTTAATTTGAATGGATGGTTTTTTAAAGTTTACACGTTTAACAATGTGTTGAACGAGAAGTTTATCTGTAGTAATGTAATAATTTCATTTTTAGTATCCATATTTATAAGGATTACATCATATTCTACTACGTTCCTATGTAATTCTTTTTGTATTTATTTCAATAATTTTACTGTTGGGTACTATGAATAGATAAACTTCACAAATATTTTATTTAGAGAGATTTTTTTATATCAACTCGTTGACTGTCGATGAGTATTAAGCGATCTTCATGGTATTTATCCTTTAAATATAGAAATTATTTTCAGTTTATTATTATTAATTCAAAAAAATAATCTGAAATCCTGTTTAATTACTAAGTAAATCGTTAATTTATTTATAGTCTATCTTGTTTACAGTAATGAGCATGGTCATTTATTATATCTTGTAAAACCTCAAACTCTAATCCTGTTTGGGATTTTATCAGTCCTTTTTGTTTATCAGTTAGTGTGATGCAATGATAAGATCATTGGTTTAATTCCCAAAACAAAATTCATGCAGATGGACCAAACATTCTGAAAGTAATAAGGTTTATTTGACTTAATCGACACTTTCATAGTTTGTACAATGATTTCAACCATCAAATAAATATTAGAAATAAGTTGTAAATGTTCTTGTTATCTGGATAAGGTAAACCATTACTAACAACAATCAGTAAGTAGTTATGTTCAATTTGTTAAATTTGTTTTGTGTTATCTCCAATATTAAGCAGATTGAACCCATAATTCTTAGATAGTTTTATTACATTTAAAGTTTTCCCTGAGAACCTTTACTTTTGTGAAGTATTTTCTCTGAGATTCTTTTATGTATTAGAAATGCTGAAGAAAAAAGATTTTAAAAATAAATAAATCAGTAATTGGTATTCATTGAATTAAATCTACATAAATAACATACCCAGTTGTTATCAGTGCAATAATTATCAAACTGGAACAGACCAAGAATACTGCACCCGGGAATAGATGAGTTGTTGAAGAATAGATTGAAATTAATACAGAAAAACAAGTAAGTACGCCCAATCGTGATACAAACGCCACAAATGAATGTATCATACCTGTTAAAATGAAAAGAAAAACACAGAGGTAGTTGAGCAATGGATCATCATAATTATTTGAGCTACGTAAAGTTATTATGAGAAATTGATGAAGTATACGCTTTCCAAATGAAAAAAACATTGGGAACTATAAAAAAATATACTTATCCATGAAAGTTCAGATCTGAACCATTTCCTAAATTAGATCAGGCTAAAAACGTTCACAGATTCAGATGCGTGTATTAGTGAATTCTTTTTTCCTAAAAAACTAAATGTTAACAGTATCCTTGAATCAATGCTATTCAGTATAATAAACTTCATTTAGGGCAATAATTGTAAATCAATTACATTAAAATGCTATAATATTTGTATCATCAATCACTCACCCTGCTTTGATTGGTCAGTCCACATGGATATAAGGGTTCTTAGTATTGGATTATTCAACCCTTTAGCAAATCTTGGTATGGTAGCTGAATAAAACAAAGTAAAAAAGAATTAAAGTGGATGTAAGGAATCTTTGTGTAGCAATAGAAATATTAGAAATATTTAGCTTCATATTTTACATTTCACCTTGTATCGGAAGAAAACATAAGAATATTGGGTAGAAGTATAATATACTGATAGCCTTGAGTTGCATAATCAGTATTAAGAAAGACATCCCAGATATTTTATGTGAAATTTGAAGTAGAGTGAGCGATAACTTGTATATTATTACTGACAAAATGAAAATGTGCAATGATTTATTTTTAAAATGCTTGGGATTAATAAAAATGCCTATTATGCAGCTAGAAGTGAATTCGAGATGGTACTTGATCCAAAATACAAAAAATACATGCTCCGAAGTCAGATTGTTTATTAAAATACTTGATGATACGCGATGCATAATCGAGTATTTAATAGAGCTTTGAAGCATTCACCCTTTCTAACTTTTCCTCTAGATATCAACCTTAATTTTCTTCGGTTTGTAAATAGGAGGGTTTCAGATCAGTTGATTATAGCTGATGTCATTTGATAATGAAAACCATAACCCCAATTTGTAAACGTAATTCCAAACTACAGATTGAATCTCACTTCTTATCCTTAACTTTCAGCATGATAGCTGTTGTTAGTTGATGGTGAAAACCATTTGTGGGTATAACCGTTTAGGGCACTAACTCACAGCCCTCCCCCGACTTATTATATATGGACTTAACTTTTCGCTTTAACTGCAATAAATAATTCAAGATTATTCCTATCAAAGCTATTATCTCACTGTTATTTGTTTCCGTTTAATTGTTAATTATTTTATTGCTAGTAAACGTTTACTGATAAGTAAGTCGTTTAAGGCTGTCAGTGTATCCTACTTTCATTGAATATTGTTCACCTGGATTATAAATCCCGAAATAATTTCGTGGATGACATCGAAGAACAGCCCGACTATTTAATGGCTTACGTTTTTAATAAGACAGAAGTGAGTGACGGTCCATTGACGATTACTAAACTTAACGTTTTATCTGTAACTAATCGACTGTCATCCGATATCAAACTCACGGTTATGTTATTTTTCTTGAATACTTTATTTTTGTCAGAATTTGGATTTATGCAGGTTGTCTAGAGGTTGAGCGTACATACGGGAGAACGGAGTTCCTGATTTCGGGGTCAGCGTGCAGAATTGTGTATGTGCATTGACGAGGAGTTTCATACTGGGACGAAACGGTTGTCCAGTGTTTCCACGTTATTTGTGTTAGGGAAAATATTCTCATTTAAATTGATAATAGCTATTTTAGATAGAAGTTAATAATGTCACGCATTGTTAAATGGATTTAAGTTTTTTTAAAAAATATTTTGCTACCAACAGTTTAATAGGGAGTTATTTACAATGAATATAATGAACGGAATTTATCACGAAGTCAGGAGATTATATCAGTGAAAGACAAAATGAAATTCTATGAATCTTAGACACTACACATAAACATTAATCTTACAATTTGCAATGGTAGACAATATTTACTTGTATTTCAGACATATACACCTCTAGTGTCACATCAAAATGCAAATAATAAATTGAATTAAGTAAAATAAAATAAATTATATAAACTATGCAACTTCAATTTAATAAATAAGAAATAATTACCGATATAAACTAAAGTATTAGCTGTAAATGTATTAAACAGATACGATATACCAAGTATAGTTCGGTTCATAAACATCATGAAAATACTGAAAATTAATATTTTTAAAAGGAAATTGACAGATTGACATTTAACTTCATTAAATTGTTTATAATTATCATTTGTATCAGATATATTCTGAGAGATTGAATGACTTGATTTTGATATTGGTCTATGTATGATTCGAGCCATTAAAAGTGTGAAAATAAGTGCGATGATTGCAGAAACTATATCAGTTACACCACTGAAAATAATAGTAATACATTTGATTGAAAATATACTTGTTAAACAATTAAGTATAATTAAGTAGTATGATACATAATAATGGAATTATGATTTACTAAAATAATTAAGAAAATTCATATAACTATATTGTATGCTCTGTAATAAGTTGAATTGCATTTTCACATTGATATTTAGTAAAGTATTTTTGTAATGAATTTATTTCACCTGATAAATTAACGTATACATGATTTGACAATGAAATCAAACATTATACTGATTGAGTAATTGTTGAAAACTGAAATGAATATTTTCACAACTATCGTGTAATCATGAGCCACTATAATATTATCCATCTACTTAACTTCCTGGTGTATTTAATGGTATTATGAGTAAAAAACATATTATGCAGAGACATTAGTTAAAGTTCCATGTTCGAGAAACAAAGAAGAATATATATTTAGATTGTTTGTATATAAAAATGTTTGTCAGAATTAATCAATTATCTTTATAGAGTCTAATGCGCAACTACTTAAAACTGAAGTTCAAACCATGTACTATGGGATAATAATAAATATATATGTGTACATTGTTGAGCTATCGTTGTATACAGAACCTCATAAACTTAGAAACACTTGCTCAATCCACGCAAAATGAGCAGAACAAACTGGATGGATTGTTTATATTATATACATAATGTAAGCCACTTCAGAGTAAAGAAGTGGCATATATTAAGTTACGAAACGTCAAAAATATAATTTTGCCTACTAATAGGCATATAACAAAAAAAATACATATTTATTATTAACTTTCTACCCAATACTCAATTTATTTGAGACTATCAAGTTTAACCTTGCATGGATTGTGTTTTGACTATCCTAAATTAAAATGCCTGCAAAGATATGGCTCATAACACATCTTATCAATGGTTAATAGAGATAGTTACAAATCGCACGTTGAAAACAGTGAATCAATTTGAGTTTTATTTTTTTTTAAATTCACAATTTGATTGCATATAATAACTTGCATTCTCAAAACGGTAGTTTCTCGATTATAAAAACAGTATTACTATACACGTTTTGCATCATCAGCAACAGTTTTTCATAATGAAACATATGATATGTTTATTTCTACAAGCACTTTTTGCATACTGTCGAAAGTATTAGTGATGAACAACCATAGAATCTTTGCACCTAAGCTCCCTGCTAATAAAACTATATAAAGACATACTGAAGATTTTTGTGTAATTCTATAAGAATCTTCCAAATCTACAACCAATCATATGGACAATCATTTTATATTCACGGAGTAATAAAGTAAAATTAACAGCATATTCTGGTGTATGCTACTGATGTCAGTAGATATAAGTAGTATGTATCATCAATCAAAAGTGAAATGCCTGGAGGCGAAAGGTTAAGAAGGTCCAAGAAATGAGAACGAGAACAAAGAATGATTGGTATCGGAAACAAAAGAACAATGAATTTCGAGACGATTGATTCACATTTGCACAAGGAACGGTCAAGTTTGAGATAAATGACTAATATTTTGCAAACGAAGAATTTACTCTATGGTTCTCAGATTTTACTAAGACGCTCTGTAATTTTGCATTCATAAACTTTCGATTGTCACCACTTGTGTTCCCGTTCACCATAGTGTAATTATAATCCAAAATATTATCTTCGGACATATACGATCAATTGATTCTTATCTATAAATAACAAACTCTTTCAGAAGTATATTTCTGGGAATTTGAATACATAGTAATTTCTTTCTTAAACAGCAATAATGAGGTACAAATTATTGAAAATGAACTATCTTTACGTACAAATGTACACAGTGAATATAATTTCGCAACAAAATAAAATCTCAAACTTAGGTTAATTTACTTTATAATTTATGTAATAAGATAACTTTTATGTTAAATCTATTTATGGTAATTTTTATATATAACCATCAAGTATTCTTTGGATATCAGTCAATTAATGCTATGATTGAAACGATTACGAGTTCACCTAGTCTGAGAACGGGACAAAGACCTTGTGATCAAAGACCAATAAACTAGTTATTCTGACGCGTCTCGGCCCCGCTGAGTAGAGAGAGAAGTTCAAGTTCAAAATGTGGAAATATATTCCGCAAGCAGCCAGAAACAGGAACAATCACAACAGGCACAAATCAAACGTTTATATACAGCATAAAATTGTTCTTAGGATGCGTTACAAAATAGCATACTAAAAGATACAACGAACCAATAGCATTTGAGATCCTTCTAATTGGGAAATACGACATAAAAGTGAAGATGAGTACATTTGGCACGAAAACAAAAAACTCAATTTTTTAAAAATCAAATTACAAAAATAAGGTATTTACAAAGTGATTTCTGGGGATCTAACATCCTCAAAAATCAATATAAAAAATATATAATACAAATTTCATGATCAAATGTCTATATGTTATAAACCATTGAAGTGTTATTCTGATTGGTGTTTTGTAGTACTTACTATTTAGACATAATGAAAACACTTCTACTTAAAACATAACTTCAAATTTTTTGTCATAAAATTTCCATGATACTGTATCTAATTATTCGTTCATTTCACTAAAAAAACAACAACTTCAAACGTAAACTTACGAATAAATTCCAACATCCTGTGAATTCCATAAAAATGGATATCCCATCAGATATATGTATATAATATACAAATCCGTTGATGTAACAGTAGATAACAAAAATACAATAAATCCAGTTAGGATGTGTTGTTTATATTTTCCACTTAGGATCTAAAGTGTTTATTATTGGATATGAATTCACAAATAGAAAATAAAAAACTTTTTTACTGTATATGATATGCCATAATACAATATTCTAATGACGTTTGTCATAAACAGTCATTATGTGGAATCTTAAATTCTTCTAACAGACTTTATCCTAATAAAATCTAAACTGTTCTCAGATTATCATTTCTTATAGACAAAACACTATAGATTAAGTTAGCTTGACTAAAATTAAGACTTATCATAATTAGTTTTATTTAGTTGAAAACAAAACGATCGAAAACATAAAAGACTATCATCAGGCAAGTGCACCTGTTGGATCCCGTATTGAATCAATTATTTATCCACGCTGATTATTTCTTTATTCTGAGGAGTTGAGAAGAAAAACGGTGAAACTATAATTTATGAACAACCTTTCAGCGACTCTAGATTGACCTTGAGAGTATCCACCAAATAACTAAGACCAAATGAGGGTTATACACCTGTGTGAGGAATTAGAATTATGATGTACAGTTGATGATTAAGGTTAGAAATTAGATTTAGGGTTTTCATCATAAATTGACATCAGCTATAATGCCAAAACTCCCTTCAACCAAATGGATAAATAAATTTCGCGCCAAAATTCGAGACCTGTTATCTTATACGTGATTGGTTCGTCTACCAATTACAGTTTCGCTAATAAAGCCTATTGATTGACGGTCATCCTTCTGCACCGAGAATAGATTAAACATGACAAAATAGTTTGTTCAAGAGTTAAAGTTATTTTATTTTCATGACAATATAGTTGTAAATATTAGAGTGTATTATATATTTGTGCTTTTATAAGTTCTCTGTAATTACATAAAAAATGATAATGTTATGTATTTAGCAATCAATAAATGCAAATAAGCCTAGGCTTGTAATGTACAAAAATATTTCATTTATGTCAAATTCGATCAAAAATTTGTAGTAGTTTATCTTCGTTAAGATAAATAATTTAAATATACATTGATAGATAGAGAGGATAAATAGTTTTCGTATCCGGATTTCGAAGATAGTGTAATGTAATTATTCTTCTAAGTATTAAATATTTCAAGTTGTATAATGACTTAATGAAAACTATATTTTAAAAAATAAGCAAGTATGGATAGTGAATAGCAGTGGAATAGAGGATGCGCATTTCTTCCTATGTGAGACTCGTCAGCTGGATGTACCTGCGTTTCAGAATTGGTGCTCACTCCGCGACTACAACCCAGTACCTTTCACTTGAAACGCCCTCACGTTATCCACTTAGCTAATGAGTCTTGATAGCTACTTGCTTGTGCAATGGGGTGAAGTTTAAATTCACTTGGTGTTGTTTGCTTGGATATAAGTCGATAACACAGTGGCGTTTGAAGCGAACAGTACTGGGTTCGAGTCCCAGAGTGAGCATGAATTCTATGATGCAGGTAAATCCAGCTAAAGAGTCTTGATTAGAATAAAATGCGCATCCTAGGTTCCACTGCTAGCTACTATCCATCTTTCTTTAGAATGCTTGTGAGTTAAGGCGATATCGAGGTAATACACACAGTATGCACATATACCAATAAGAGATTGATCAACTGTAGTTCTAAACATCAATGGGGAGGTTCAAGTAAACAATACCAAGCGTATTTTCAAAATATTAAAGATATAAACTAGATGGTATATTATTGACCATTCTCTGATAAATAGGAATGCTTTTCACAGTTGGTCAAATTTACCTTTATATTTATAAGATCTTAATGTAATATTATTAAGAAATGATAAATAGACAAGTTCAAAAGAATTTTGTCAGGTAATCAGTTTATTAACATCAACTCTAACAGAAGTTTATACAGCCGGTTAAAAGCACATTAGCAAGAATTGTCCGACTGTCTTTTATTTGCGATAGTTTATAACTCAAGTAGTGGATTTATCGTCGAAATTAATATATATATATGTTAAAGTACTAGTTCCGTGAGGAAATGGTAACACGAATAACCAAGATGACGCAATAGCAAGATTATACTACTAGATTACGCAAAACAAATAATAACAATAGACGTAATAAGTTAGTAACGAATTATAACGTGAATGTATTAAGATAATTAAAATGTTATAATTCGATACTAAGTTATGAGGTCTATTGTTGTTATTCGTATTACGTAAGCTAGTCTTATAATCTTCTTATTACGTCATCCTGGCTATTCGTGTTCACATTTCCTCACGGAACTAGTACTTTGACAAAATAATTTCATATTTATACAATTGTACAAATTTATTAAAATTCGTTGAAAAGAGATCCCTTCTCTGAACTTTATGTTCTTAATGTTTAAGTGGGAATTATATTTCAGTAATAGTAATTGTTTGAAATTCTCTTATATACCATTACGGACCATAGATTGACATAGTCTGGAAAAATAATAAACATCATAGAGCACTAAAGAGCTTTTGTAGTCGTCATCCGGACTGCTAAGTGATTTCCGTTTACAATGATAAAATTAAGGCCTCATAATTTCAGAGTGAGGGCGGTAGTTGTAGGCTTACGAGTTAGGATCTAGTGATTTTTCTATTTACATCAGTCAACTATGGATATTATACAATCAACCTACAGATCGTATGTTAGATGTAATGGTGGAAAACTATGCCACATCCTTTGTTGACACACATGGTCAATCTTCCTAACAGGAGCTGTTTGGAACAAAGACGAGTAGATCATTCGGAAAGTGATGCATACAAAGTGTAATATATAAGAAATAGATGCAAATTTCAATAACCATAATAGTATTTTATGTGGTGACAGTAGTCTGTTTACGTGAGCAACAAATCACCAAAAATATTACTTACTTACTTAATTACGCCTGTTACTCTCAATGGAGCATAGGCCGCCGACCAGCATTCTCCAACCCACTCTGTCCTGGGCCTTCTTTTCTAGTTCCATCCAATTCCTGTTCATTTTTCTCATGTCTATCTCCATTTCCCAGCGTAATGTGTTCTTTGGCCTTCCTCTTTTCCTTCGGCCTTGTAGATTCCATGTGAGGGCTTGTCCTGTGACGCAGTTGGGTGCTTTCCTCAATGTGTGTCCTATCCACTTCCAGCGCTTCTTCCTAATTTCTTCCTCCACTGGGATCTGGTTTGTTCTCTCCCTTAGTAGGTTGTTGCTAATAGTGTCCGGCCAATGGATCTGAAGTATTTTTGCGTAGACAACTGTTAATAAACACCTGTATTTTCTGGATGATGGCTTTCGTAGTTCTCCAGGTTTCATCCCCATACAGTAGAACTGTCTTGACATTTATATCGAAAATCCTGACCTTGGTGTTGGTTGACAGTTGCTTTGAGTTCCAGATGTTCTTCAGTTGTAAATATGCTGCTCTCGCTTTGCCGATCCGCGCATTCACATCTGCATCAGATCCACCCTGTTCGTCAATGATGCTGCCCAAATACGTAAAGTTATTTACATCTTCCAAATCTTCTCAGTCAATTGTGATTGGATTGGTGCATTCTGTGTTGTATCGGAGAATCCTGCTTGTTCCTTTGTGTATATCGAGACCTACTGCTGCTGAGGCTGCTGCCACACTGTTCGTCTTCTCCTGCATTTGTTGTTACGTTTGGGATAGAAGGGCCAGATCGTCTGCGAAGTCTAGATCATCCAACTGCATCCTAGATGTCCATTGTATCCCGTGCTTCCCTTCAGACATTGACGTCTTCATGATCCAGTAGATCACCAGGAGAAAGAGAAAGGGTGAGAGTAAGCAACGTTGCCTAACACCGGTCTTCACTTCGAATGACTTTGTCAACTGTCCTCCATGCACGATTTTGCAGTGTAATCCATCATATGAGTTCTGTATGATATTGACTATCTTCTGAGGCACGCCGTAGTGTCGAAGAAGTTTCCATAGTGTTGTTCTGTCCACGCTATCAAATGCCTTTTCATAGTCAATGAAGTTGATGTAGAGTGATGAATTCCATTCCATTGATTGTTCCACAATGATCCGTAGAGTTGAGATTTGGTGTGTACACGATCTATCCTTACGGAATCCTGCCTGTTGGTCACGAAGTTGGGCGTCTACGCAGTCCTTCATCCTGTTTAACAATCCCCTGTTGAAGACTTTTCCCGGTATTGAGAGAAGAGTGATGCCTCTGTAGTTGTCACACTTGCTGAGATCGCCTTTCTTTGGTATTTTGATCAGGAGTCCTTCTTTCCAGTCTGTTGGTACTTGTTCCTCATCCCAAATCTTATTGAATAGAATGTGGAGTATCCTTGCAGTTGCCGCTACGTCTGCTTATAGTGCCTCTGCTGGAATGTTATCCGGTCATGCTGCTTTGCCACTCTTGATTTGTTTAATGACCATGCTGATTTCTTCAATTGTTGATGGGCCAACATCGATTGGGAGGTCCGTGGGTGCTGCTTCGATGTTGGGTGGGTTCAGTGGGCTGGTCGATTCAAGAGTTCTATGGAGTATTCAACCCACCTGTTTTGTTGCTCTTCAATGTTGGTGATTGATTACCTCGCCTTCCTTGCTTTTCACTGGTCGTTCTGGTTTGCGGCGATTTCCAGAGAGTTTCTTTGTCGTGTCATATAGTTCTCTCATGTTTCCTTCTCTTGCAGCCTTTTCCGCCGTCGTTGCTAAATCTCCCACATATTTACGTTTGTCGGTTCTGATGCTCCTCTTCACTTGTCTGTTTACTTCTGTGTATTCACCTTGTGTCTTGGCTTTTTCTGCTCTTGTTCGACTGGTATTGATTACTGCCTTCTTGTTCCTCCTTTCTCGAATCTTATCCAGTGTATCAACATTGATCCATTCCTTGTGATGGTGCTGCTTGTGACCCAGGACCTCATGACATGTTGAAGTGATTGCCTCTTTGATCCCCTTCCAGTTGCTCTCCACAGTAGTTCCTTCTCCATTGAGTAGATGATGAAAAGCCTGGAACGTATTGCTGTGGAATGTCTTGAATTTGTTGAGTTTGTCAGTATCCTGTAGAAAGGCCGTATTGAACTTCTGTGATGTTGTCCGCCCCGTTGTCCAGTGCTTCTTGAGTTTCAATTTCATCTTGGCGATCAGCACTTGATGATCTGATGCTAAATCAGCTCCTCTCTTGGTTCTCACATCCTCTATAGTCCTACTGAACGTTTTGTTGATGCAAATATGGTCGATTTGGTTTTGTGTAGAGTGATCCGGTGAAGTCCATGTGGTTTTGTGTATGCGTTTATGTGGGAATATGGTGCCGCCAATGTCCAGCTTATTGAAGGCACATAGGTTTGCAAATCTCTCACCATTTTCGTTCCTTTCTCCCAGTCCGTGTCGTCCCACGATGTCTTCATATCCAGTGTTGTCCGTTCCAACTTGGCATTGAAATCTCTCATCAGAATGGTTAGGTACTTTGTTGGGCACTTCTCGACGATTGACTGCAGCCTATTGTAGAATTGATCTTTAGCGTCTTCATTGTAGTCGTTGGTAGGCGCATAGCATTGGATGATGTTCATTGAAATGCTCTCTTCCTTTGTTTTGAAGGAGGCTTTGATGATCCTTGGTCCATGAGATTCCCATCCTATAAGCGCATTTTGTGTTTGTTTGGACAGCATCAATGCAACTCCTTGTGTATGTGGTGCATTTTCTTCTTCATGGTCGGAGTATAACAGGAGCTCTCCTGTAGTTAGTCGTTGTTGTCCAACTTGAGTCCAATGTGTTTTACTGATCCCAAGTACCTCTAGGTTGTATCTTCTCATTTCTGCAGCAATTTGGAAGGCTCTCCCGATGTCCCACATTGTACGAACATTCCATGTACCTAAATAAATGATCGCTCTGGTTGTCAGAAAGGGCATCGGCCTCGTAACTTCCGAAGGAATTCGGCTTTCATCATGAGGCGTCATAGTTCTTCTAAATGAAGACCTTCTGACTCCCAGGGTAGAGTTTAGAAGGTTTGAATAATTTTTTCTGGTTAGCGTTTTTTAGCGAGTTAGTTTTCTACGGGATAGGGACGCTAATTCCATGCCCAACCCTCCTGCTTTATCCGGGCTTGGGACCGGCAGTAGCTCCCAGAGGGACTCCAGACGGAGTTACCAAAAATATAACGAGATCAAAAAAATCCGTAAAGATACAAATATATATTTGTACAATGTAACCATTGTATTCCGGCTAGCGTTTCTCAACAAAGTTGTTTTCTACAAGATGGAGTTGCTGACTCCGTGCTCAAACCTCCACTTCAACCCGATCTTGGGACCGGCAGTAACTCTAGAAGACCTACAGACACGTACAGGCAAGGATTGACAAAGCCAGGATCGCGTTCCCACAGCTGAAGAGCATATGGAACCCAAAACAGTTGTATGTCAACCAGTATCAAAGTTCGGATCTTCAATAAGAACTCCGAGAATTATCACAACCATCATCAAAAAGGTACAAGTATTTATAAACAGTTGTCTACTAAATATACTTAATGTCCGTTGGCCAGATACCATTAGCAGCAGCCTGCTGTGCGAGAGAACAAACCAGATTCCAGGAAAAGTCGATGAAAGTGGATATGACACGTATTGAGGAAATCATCAAACTGCATAACGAAGCGAGCTCTGATTTGTAATCGTGAAGAGAAACGAAAAAGTGGAAGATCAAAGAACACATTGAGCTGAGAATTGGAATCAGATAAGATAATGATGAAATAGCAACTGAAGAAACTGGTAAGGATTGCTTGGGACAGAGCTGAATGGAGAATGCTGGTGAGTTGCCTATGTTCCTGCACGAGGTGTAACAGCCGTAAGTAAGTTAGGTTAGTAATCAATCTATCATTCCATTTTTCACAAACGCTATAATTTTAGTATTGTTCTGATTTCCTTAAACACAATAACTCACCAATTAATCAAGTAATATATTATCTTCTAAATTGCAAAAGTTTAAAACGAGTAAAATAAATGATCATTAAGTTATTTATGACAATATTTATTTACCTACCTTGAAACTGTTTTGAATATTTTGACAATTCACTTCCCAAAATGATAAATTCCTGCTGCGTACAAAAACAATCTCTATATTACTACTCTCGTTTTTACAATCTTGATCATTATTTAAAGTGCCTATATTTAAACATTTCGGACGAAATACTATGTTCGATTCAGGTAGAAAAAATATTATCAATAAACTAATCCCAACCAAAATGTTACAGATGATAACTGGTAGTTGAAAACCGCCTCGATAAAGAAGGGTACCTAAAAGAATTAAATATTGTATTGTTGATTCGATTTGAAAAGTTTTATTTTTTTTAAGATGTTTGGGAAAAAAATACTGGATCAGTAACAATATACTGTTAATTTTGTTTGCATTTTTTTCAAATCCACACTTACGTTTGAAGAAGAACTAAGTCTTCATATATTCAAATAACTGAGCAATACGTAATTAATAAGCTGAGTATCAAGACGAAAACTATAGTTGAGTCCAGTCTTAAGCATACTTTGGTATTTGTTTCACCCTAATATATACTTTTAATCAAAGTATATTATATTCAAGCTGATCAAGCAAACAAAAGATCTCAAGATATTGTTCTTGGAGAGATACAATATGTCATTTCCATTTGGAGCAGATTAAAATAGAATACATCTACAGTGAGTAATACATCACTACACTCGTGATCAGAGTATGTATTTTACCGTTCACGTTAACTCATTAATGATTATTTTACTAACCGTCTTAAAAATACTTAGATAAATCAAATAAATTAATTATTGGATATCGTCATACTACCGTGGTGTGTGCTATTGATGTCGATAGATATAATTAATATGTATTATCAATCAAAAGTGAAATATCTCGAGGCAGAAGCTTAAGAAGATCGGAGAAAAGGGGACGAGAACAGAAAGTGATTGATGTGGAACAGAAGACGATTGATTGACATTTCGCAAATAAAGTATTTACTATATCGTTCTCAGATTTTAATAAAAGATTCTGTAATTTTGTGTTCGAATACATTGATTGTCCCTACTTGTTCTCTCGTTCATTACACTATCATCATATTATCTTAAAATGTCTTTGAAATTACAAAGAATATCAAAAAGACATTTTCAGTTCATGTGAATATGATTTTGTATAACACTCGTAAAAAAATTGTATAGCCAAATAGTTTCTAAAATTTTATTATTATATTTCCTATACCAAATTTGTGAATACAACTGATTTGCTCACCTCCTATAGGATTTGAAAGTGATAAACTAATTAAAGCAAGTCCATCGAACCAAGTGAATAAAGTCCATAAATTATTTTGATTAGTTAATTGACTATTTGTTACATCATTATTATCTATTGATTCTTTACACACTAAATCCGTTAATGATGCTGAAACTTGTGCTTGGATCGATAACAAACCACCTCCTATAAATCCATCGAATAAACCAGGGATAATTGTTAACCATGGGTTAGCTTGGAGTAGAACAACCACACCTATTAATCGATAATATGTATATAAATTAATAAAATGATAAAAATACACTTTTACTCAACCAAGTCCATGTAAAATCATTTCTTTGTAGACAAGTAGTATATATAGATATGTAGTAGAAGTTTAATGATACTTGGGTATGTTTATGAATTTTGTGTGACACCACTTAACGTTATTAAATATGTGATATGTATTTATCAGAAATGATATTGTAGTAAGCTATTAAATAAAAACCAAATAGCTAATGATACAGTTTATCTCTTAGAAATGTTAGTAATCTATGGTAAAGTCAATATTATTTCATAATTTACATCAAGTATAGATTTATGTTCGACAGATAATAGTAACTGTGAAACAGCAAACATCTGATTTATTTTAGTATGAGACTCTTAAACAGTACGATGCAACCACATAGAAACAGACCCAAGACCATTGGTTTTACACGCAAACGTTTAGCACTTAGACCAGCAAGGTGCGAGCCGATGGTTTGCATACTTAACTTTAATCAACTTTCAATATCCCATAACCATCTTCCATTATACTTTATGATTGAATCACACTTGACATAACTAAACTCCACTAGTCATTACGTTTCACTAAAACTCAGTTTTATTTGTTTGAATGAACGTTTTAGAACTGACTTGTCGAATAAAAAATATTTCATTTTTTCAATAGAAAGAGTAAAGTGACTAGTGAGGAAACATTCAGATGACGATTTCTTTCTGGAATTCAATTTTAGAAGTTCATACATTCAAAGCATCAAAATGATGTTACGTAATATTTTGACAGACAAAAGCCAAAGTCAGTGAGCTTGTGTTCATTTTTCTCAATGGATAGTTTATTGTTTAGTCAAGCCGTTTGGTTACATCTTACACAAGGCTATGGAATGCTTTGATAAAAACACCTACTCAGTGTGATTATTTGTAATGCTTCTCCGATGATCATGATACCTAATGACAAACGACGGCCAAAATGGTCAGATATGTAACCAATTATCATTGTTGTCAATAAACCAAATAATAATCTCACTGAATGATTGCATGCACCGATCCAAGCAGCTCTACGTTGCCCTTCCTTAAGTAAAAGTTTATCTGATTCATTGCTGAAAGAGAAAAACAGTGAGGAAATCGAAGTTTATTGCTATATTCACCACCACTCCAATATTTACTAAAATAATAGCAAAAACGTTTCAACCACAAAGAAAGGCATGGGTATACTAATTAGTAATATAAATAAGAGATACAAATCATTACCGTGAATATTTATATTTTGAATTAGATATTCTAATCAGTTTGCCGTGTGTATCAAAATAGCATATGTCATAAATGTGATCCCGTAAATCATTGGGCTGAAATCGTATAAATAAATTATTTCTAGTTGAAAGTTATTGTGTTTTTTCTATCATTATCTAAACAAAGATATTTACAACATGCAGACTCAAGTCTAGCCTTATTTGTTAAAAACGTCGGTAAACTTTGATTTTTTCAAAGAACTCAAATAATGCAGCTCACCTTGCGATCAATTCAAATTTCCCATCTTTTACGTCATATAATAAACCTTCGTCTATCGCGCATCTAAATATTAATAGAAATAAATGCTTTATATTTATATTTAGAACAAATTTTAATTGTGTTTCTAATTGAAAATTTTATAATATGGAAAATATTTTAGTGAGGTATATGCCGATAAATCTAGTTTGTATATCAGCATGTCTGTACAAATGTTTTGACGGTACTGTCATTTACATATTCAAGGAGAATCCAATTGTTCCATTCATTTTTAAAGCTCTAAATTTATAGACGTTAAGAAAATAGGACTTACAAAACAAAATGGACTAACATAAAGCTTCAAGCCTTTTGCTCTTTTAAACTGAAACTGATATTATACATCGAGACTTTCCGTCGAAAAATTATTTTAAATAAATGATTTGTTTAGTAGGTTAAACGAAGTTTAGGACATAAGAAATTAACGGATTATCAAATGAACTTCTGTAGGTTAAGTTCGACATCTATTAGACATCATTGTGAATTTAATGGATCGTCAGAAGCGACAATTAACAAAATGAGTAGAACAGGAGCGACAATAAGACTAGGAAAATTCAAACATGAGAGAAACAGAACTAAATTATCATTTAAAATTGGAGAATAAAAGTTAAGAGTGACGTTTGTCACAGTATCCAGAGTATATTATAGTCAAATTGTTTATTCTGCTAGCCAAAATATAAAACTTAATAAGTACCACATAAATTTGCAATATCTGACAGTGTAGGGTTGGTCGGAAATATAAATATATCTATACAATAAATCAAAGACATGAAACATTGAGGTAATGAGAAATTGATTATCAATAATAATTGATAGTAGTTAAAAATTAAATCCAGTAGATCGTTTCTATCATCTCTTAAACAAACTAAGAACATAATCGCTTTTCAACATCTTGTTAAACTGGTATTACGGTTCATTTTATTCATTATATGTTGGAGTAACTGATGTATTTTTGGCTATGAAAATTACACCAGTAGGTAGACGGACGAAGGAAGTATATACTTTTTAATAAGTTACCACCAGGTTCTGTTATTCTAAATCCAAACTAGTGCTCCAAAACAAAGATAGCCAGATATAAGGCAAACACGTAATTTAGACAATCATATACGTATTTGTGTTTTCGGTATAAGATCATTGAAATGAATGGTTTGAATATGATGAATACAATTTAGAAAACTAAATAATATTGTAAGATTACATCCAATTAATCTCTAGACGATGTTCTAAAATGGCGCATGCGCCTTAATAAATAAATTATGTATCTGACTTAAAATTGTTTTCCAGTCAGTTAGTCACTCAGTAAGCTACAACGTAGGACCAGGCGCATATGTGCATTGGTCCAAGTTGCCAGTGTAGAAATTAAGAAAAAAAACAAGGATTAACAAAATAATCGTTACTTCAAATGTTTCGTCTATTATTTAATTTGATATGGAAGCGCATTTATCAAATGCTATCTTCAATGCAAACGATATTTTTTATTCGTTAAATGAACTTCGAAAATACTAGTAAACAAATTAATCCCATTAGCTGAAATCATGAGTCAACTGAAGCTAGATCATCGTGGAAAACCTGGAATCACTGGACGACCGTTTCTTTATAGTATGGGACTCCTCAGAAGTGCGTATCCACGATCCCACCCCCCACAAGATTAGAGCCCAGGACCTGATGGTCTCGCGCGCGAGTGCTTAACCATTAGACCAGTGAGCCGTCATCCAACGGTGTTAATGTTTAAATTCCAACAATCCAATCATTAAAAATAAATAGCCTAATTGACTTACCTGTAAAATACATACTGATCAGAAATAAAAAAACATAATTCCAGTGATATATACAAAGGAATAAGTAACATGGCTAATAATATTAGAAATTTATTTCTTAAATTCCAAATACTATCACATTTCAGCATGTTGATAGAAAAAGAATTGGGAAATGTTGTACAATGGTGTTACTTTGCTTGTTTTTTTCCTCGCACAAATAATATGTGAAGTAGTGACAATGTTTGAATGGAATAATAAAAGGTTTTCTCACTTTCTAGTTTGTTTGTTGTCTATTAAATATTGTATTTATGTAAACAACGTAATTTGAAGCCTGGATGTTCTTAATCATAAGTAATAATGCATAAATGTAGGTATATACATATATATTTCACAAACATGATAGTTCACGTGAGTTTATTCATATGAATTCAATAATTCATGTTGTAAGATTCCATAAACCAGTATTTTTCGTCCGTTAGTAATACAATAAGTAAATGAGCGGTGAATCTTAATAGTTTTGTAAGTGTCTATATAATAAATGTGATTTTTATACTAGAATTATACGAATTTTCAGACTACGTTTATGGTAATAAACAAAAGCGCTAATCTTTCCGGGTTTTTTAAAACAAAAACAGATGCAATTGGATCATGTGAAGGTAAAATGTGAACTATAAGGAATCAAATGATTCATTTATTTGATGATAGATATCATAATGAACATATACCGAGCAAATTTAATGAAACTTATTGAATATAAATCACCTTGAAAGGTTGTAAAGTGTCAATCTGATGGGTTGTACCAAATAGGTGTCTTGAAACAGAGCCTAGTAAAGTTTTTATTCTATTTGAAATAAATCCTATATAGGCTGACTCAGGTCCTTCTTTCTATTCTCTCAAAATAACTTCTTTTACAGGTACATGTAAGCTTATATACAGTTGGAGATAACATGAACGGGAAATGTAATGATCATAATTTGCTTCGACAAACATATTTTGTACTCGACGATTAGTTTGGATCTAGAACATGTCTTGATTAATGTAGTTTTTAGTCTTCAGCTGATTTATGATTCAACACTATTGACTTCAAATTATAGTACGGTAGCTTCTTTAGGCTCTTTTTTTCAGTTCTCCTGTATTTAACAGGAAAGTTTTGTGGTTACATGTTGTTCTGTAGACACTTTTTAGATTTTCACCTCTTACTTTCATAGTTTATTGACGTCACAGATTCTTTCTGTTTTATAGAATGATATTTTAATTAGTAACTTATCTTAATGTACGAAAGCTGGTAAGATTTAGATAAGCTCTACTCCACATATATTTACGATATATTGAGCGTTAAGTTATTTAATCCTCCATATTTCTCACCAGGATTTCAAAAAAGCAGGATTTATCACTATTTTTTATAGTAAACTGTATATGAGCCATATTGAAAATCTTTAGCATGTGTTTTGAATATTTCTGATTATTAGATACGATAATTACGTTGCCAAGATACCTCAAATAATATGCCGTTTCATCTCTTGCTCCTTTGAACTTGGTTTTCAAAAGATTAGCTATGAAAAAATACTTACTAGAACAAGATCTAAAGGACTTATCGTTGCTGCACCATCAGTTTGACGATTTTTGATAACTGTCAAACTGATACTGAACATCATTCATGTACATAATTATTGACAGTTGTTTGGAATATAATATTGGTAGACATGAGATTTCGGAATACAGAAAGATCTTGATTATGGATTAAATATATAATACTTTATAAAACAAGAGTTTTACATCAAAAGAAATCATGAAATTATCATAGATGTTGATATGATTTGGTCAGCCTGAAAGTGGGATAAATCTTTTAGTTTATGTGCAGCTAATCATTGACGAACTGGTTATAGCTTTCCCGTTAGTTGGCATGCAACTTAGTGAAAAGTCGAGCTGATTATTGACAAAATAAATCTAATCGTAACAATTTGCTTATGCATCTATTATAGATCCAACAGGTAACCTGAACGAGACCTTTTAAGTGTTAGTTCAACATAAGTAGTGTTAGTTATGTTCATAACTAGCCAATCAGATCGTTACTTAAGCCCCCACCATGTTAATCTGGTCTGATGTGTCTGTAAACTATCCCTATTGCATGTGACTTACCAATTGAAAGACATCATTATCCTATTATATTAGTGTGACTCATAATTTTTATTCATTTCGATAAGACACGTAATGTTGGTCGTTTCGCCTAATGACTGTAATTCCTCTAATTACTGTACTGACCTAATCATTTTTACGTTCAGAAACAAATAATATTTAAAGTCAAGTTGTCCTTGCTCTGACCATAGTTTTCACATAGACTCTGTAATCGCCAAAATGGCGTTTACAGTTCTAGTAGTATATTTGTAGGACAAATTAACTCCTACAAAGTTTCAACCAATTAATTCGATATACCTACTGAAATGGCTGCCAATAAGTACTATGATTCCGATGAGATTCCAGAATTATCACCCCACCATCTGGGAGTTCATGATGAAGGCCAACTTGAAAAAGACGAACCCAAAACCAATAGCATGATAGAACTAGAGTTAGCTAGGTTACGTGTAACTGAGAAGAAGAAATTGAACTAGGAAAGTTACGCCGCCAGAGAAGTGAAGGTTTCAAGATTCGAATCAGTGAAACCTCTGTAACATTTGTCAATCTTATATCTTAATTGGTAGTTTAAGATTTTTTTACATAGGTTCGAAGATTTGTCAAATTACCAAGGAGAACAGTATAACTTAAGATTTTAATCATAAAATTTATTTTTAGTTATTTTTAGAATTTTCTTCGGTGTACTACCACCAAGTAAGCGAAATAAATAACTCCAGGTAGGGAGAGGTAGTGTAAAATAGAAATATGTTACTTAACGGAAAAAAAATTGGTAAGCTGAATGATGAAACTTGGTATTACTGAACGAAAATAACTAGCGATGTTTAAATTACTAGTCATGACTGTAGGTAGAACTTTTCTGTTAATTTTATTATTAGAATAAGAAGTAAATATTTTCATAAACTTAGATTGTTGAACAGAAGCAACATATTGTAACCGCCTTGAAATAACAATCGACTTGTATTTCTTGTTATTATATGAATGTATTAAAAAAGATTCCCTAGTTTTATTTATTTTGAATTGATGTGTTGTATTAATTAACTATAATTATAACTCAATCAATTTGTGCAATTTGAGAAAAAAACAATTGAACTCACACTTACTATGTTATCCTTTACAAGTCATTCTAACATGAATTATTAT